ACAGCTGCCGAGAAGAAAATATAACAGGTACACAAAGAACATTACGTAAGGTATAGTGTCCATTAATAATACTTTTGCCCCAGCAGTCTTTTTAGACTCCACATATAAAGTATAGCCATAATCAATAATAATGCATTGTCCTGACAGCCGGCATATTTTCTTTTTTACTGAAAACAAGGAATAGTATCCAGTTTGATTGTAAAGAGCGTCATTTTAGAAATTGACGCCGTATATACAACGACCGGAATGGCTGCCTCGTCACTGTCGCCGCTGTTTTAGTACTTGTATTTCCCAACAAACTAATAATTATATTTCCAAATAAATAATAGTTATATTTTCCGAATATTGATAATAGTTCAATAGTTTTGCACTTGCCTATTTACACTATGCAAAATCTTTCAGGCTAGCGTTACATTATATTTCATTGCCCTATAGCGTAGGCTCTTCTAATGCGATAAGGGTAAAATCAGTAAAATCATTGTTTAAATAAGCAGTTGATCTGTCTTAGCTGTTGAATTCTAAAATCGCTATCATTATACTGCTACACATGGGTCACTAAGTTAATATATTACATGTATATGGGAGACATGTCAGTGAAAGCGGTTAATTATATCCCTTTTCAAAGATGTCTCACAAAATCTTGTCAGTATTGTCTCAGATAGAGTTTAGGTAATTAACAATGCAGAGCAGTGCTATGTCAATGTCCAGCAACGCTTTACATTCACAGAGTATGTGATATCTGATATCCAGTAATGTATTTGCTTATAAAGGTGTAATGTATATTTAATTTTTATTTGTATTGGCTTTTATATAGCTTATGTATATTTAATCTGTATTGTGTAGTTTACTTTGGTCAGTACTAGAGGATTGATGCCTGCCTAACCAGTCACACCTTTTGGCGTTTTGTATGGTAAACAACAGATATATACCTAATACATGTCTGTGATATTATGTCATATTTTGAAATAATTTATACTTCGAGTCAAACATGTTTGCAGATGTTGAATTCCAGGTCTAGCTTCATTTAGAAAATGAAAAATGTTCTAGAAAAAGTCTTTTATGTTTCTGATGGGAAGTTTCAGAAAGATGGCAGAGTATTTCAAGTAAATGTTTTCTACGATATAGGTCCAATGGAGAGATATGAGCCATATGAAGAGTTTTACTTCAGAATTAATCATTCCTATCTTAACATCAGTCTTTAGATGAAATAAGTTTAAATGTGTTTCAGTTAATATATGAGAAGATTTATTTATTTAAATTATTCATTGGAACTACATAGTGCTCTTTGACTTTTCGGATCAAATCATTATTTTGGGAGTATTCTTAATTCATTGAGGGACATTTGGGACTAAATCATTGTGATACATCAAGACTTAGTATATCAACACTACTCGAGGCTACTGGCACGTCAGCACACTCAAGATATAAATTCATTCGTAAAACCACTGGAATTGATTCAGAACACTCGCTATTTTTGGTATTGTGTTAGAACTTAAAAGATTTTGTAATTTAACTCATAATACTGAAATTTGTCATTGTCACTTTGCATTGTACAGAAATTAATATTTTTTTTTTATTTTATAAAACTTGCTGGTTTTTGCACATTTCTGTTACAAAGGTGGCGCAATGCAATACAATAAATTTAATTTTCCATGTCAGTATTGTTATTTGAGAATCTTATTTCGTTCAGATGCATTCCGTTATAATTATTGTCAGTTTGTCTGTTTCATATCGCAGTTCAGACATTGTAATATAGACTCTCTCTCTCTCTCTCTCTCTCTCTCTCTCTCTCTCTCTCTCTCTCTCTCTCTCTCTCTCTCTCTCTCTCACACACACACACACACACACACACACACACACACACACACACACAAAGTTGATTGCTAACACCTTCGCAAGCAAGCCATGTCACATTTGAAAGGATACAGATTCAAAAGCCCTGCCTGTTCCAAACTGAAGTAATGAAATTATGTATATACAAACACAGTCTGTTTATCACCTGTACAAACAAAGGATCAGGTGTAATTCTTAGTGATGCATCCCATCAGTTAAACACGTGTTCAGAGATTCTAAATGCTCAAGACGAAAAATGTGAGTGTTTGTGTGTGTGTGTGTGTGTGTGTGTGTGTGTGTGTGTGTGAGAGAGAGAGAGAGAGAGAGAGAGAGAGAGAGAGAGAGAGAGAGAGAGAGAGAGAGAGAATAACTTAGAAAGCTTTCATTCGTCTTTGTGCTTAGCGCCCAAAAATATCAAATACGGACGATATGTTAAGTATAGACTCGGCGTGCAAAGAGAACTTACTCGCAGAATAAGTCGAATGGATTTGTACATATAGCAATTCGTAAATGATTTCATGATATGCCTAAAACAATAAAAATAAACATTATAAAAATTCAATCCATCCTGTATTTAAGCCATCGGATTTGTGTAGATTCATTTTATACGCATAGATGCGTCCAAAAAGCATCTGATATGTGTAGATTCATTTTATACGCATAGACT